AAATCTGCTGCACAAGACCTTTTTAAAGTGTTGAAGAGCAAAGATGTCAGCTTGAGGACTAAGGTGTGCCTGACCCAAGCCATGGTATTTTCAACAACCTCATATGCATGAGAAAGCTGGACAGTGAATAAGGAAGACTGTAGAAGAATTGATGCTTTTGAGTTATGGTGTTTGAGGAGAGTATTGAAGGTTCCATGGACTGCCAAAAGAGCTAACATATTTGTTTTGGAAGAAATGCAGCCAGAGTGCTCCTTGGAGGCCAAGATGGCCAAACTGCGTGTCTCATACTTCAGACATATTGTCAGGAGGGAACAGTCGCTGGAGAAGGATATCATGTTTGGTAAGGTGGAGGGTCAGAGAAAAAGAGGAAGACTCCCAACGAGATGGGTTGGCCAAGTGGCAGCATTGATGGACTCAAGTGTGGCAACAGTAGGTTGGCCTAGGTTCAGGCAGTGTTTTGTTCTGCTGTGCATAAGGTCACTATGGGTCGGTACCGACTTGATGGCACCTAATAACAACAATGTTTAAATTGAATCCTGGTGTGGTGCTGCAGGATAATGCGCTAGACTGCAAAGTCAGTTTGAATCACAAGGTTGGCGGTTCAAACTCACCATCCACTTCTTGGAAACCCCTATACAGGATCGCTATAAGTTGGAACGACTCTACAGCACTTAACAACAACAACGTTTATTTAGTGTTGTTATGTCAGTGACATTAGTAATGTCAGCTATTAATGATTCTTGGGGAGATGTACATTCACAAGGCAGGCACACCATTGGCCTTTTGAACTCCCTTGCCTTGCTTTTCTCCTCCCCTAGAAGCCCTCTGCACCTAGAATTCCTTCCTGTGTATCACTTTAGAAACAACAACAACGAAAGCCAATGTTTTTTAAATATAAGACATGTCTATTTTTGTGCAAGTAGATTTGTAGTATTTTTTGTCATTCTTAAGAATTGTTGACCATATCTTGTGAAAGCAGGTAGAATTTGTGAATACTAAATTCACATACAGCTACCCTGTGCATATATCAGATTCCACGTGAAATTACTTGTATTTGTTTTTCTTTCCATATCTGACAAGCATATTATGGAAATGATACCAAATTGTGTAACTGCTGCTATATGAAAACAGTTTCCTTTTTTTGTTATTAAATATGCCAACTATTTTTGTTTCTTTCAAGTTACAATATATGCTTTCCCTTTTTTTAAGATAAAAAAGGAATAATAAAACTCAAATTCAATAGTATAAGTTATAATTGATCAAGTGTTCTTGCTTTTAATTTGGTGTTTGCATTTATGAGAAATTGTATTCATTTTTCTATAATTATTTATCCCTGGTTTTGTCAAAAGTCTGGAATATTGGGTAGACAAATATTTTGTGTTGTTTTAAATGTTAGTATTCATCTCTATGTATGACTGCAAGACCTTGAGTATTACAAGCAATGTGATTAGTCTTTAAAATTAAGGATCAATCCATGGTAAAATAATTCTGATTCACAGCAGCCCTATATGAGAGAGTAGAAATGCCTCATAGGGTTTCCTAGATCGCCAAGCCCTTAATATCATTGTCTATTCAGGAAAGTTTCCTGGGAACTGCTAAATTCTTGATTGTTCTTTTTCTAAAACTAATGTGACTCTTCCTTTTTAATTCTTGAAATTTGAAATGATGAAGCAAAATTAGTCTGTTGTGTATATTTTTAGTTCTGCTTTAAAAATAAAATTCAGAACTACTGCTGTTCTTTGTGATAAGCAAACTTGCATTTCCTTCTTTAGACATGTAAGTTGTTCCATATTTGGGATTTAGGAAAGGCAAGTATCAAAGGAAGAGTACACGTAAGGAGCTATATGTACACAGAAACCCTGGCTGGCTTGCTGCCACATAACTGTGGTTGGAACAGTTATTCCCAGTTTCCTTGCTTATTTTTGTAGGGACAAGCCAATGAGTGTCGTGTCACTGACATTCTGGATGTCTTCTTTCCTTTTAGCAAGCATCATTTGCCTTTGCTAGTCATCACAGACTTCTCCCTTTTGTTAAGCTGCTTTATCTGCTTTATTTTTGTTCTGTTATCCTCCTCCTAGCTACCTCCCTTTTTTCTTTCTGCTCTTTTATTCTCTTTCCCTCTTCCTCTGCAGGAGAATCAGCGCATGCAGCAGAAATTAGACACCATGACAAAAGAGGTGTTTGAACTCCAAGAGTCACTTCTTTGGAAAGATAAAAAAATTGGGGTATGAGATTAATTTGGACTTTGGTGAAGAATAGACCAATGTAGTATAACTTATGGATTCCTAAAACTCTGCCTTTTTGGTTATTATTGAGTGTTGTGGTGTAAGAAATATGAAGGTGCAGGAGCTAGAAGGAGACTTCCAGGAGAGAATAGCACAGACTAGACTTGTCTGATTGTCCTTCTTACCAGCCAGTTATGGGATTGTGAAATCTACAAGTAGAAACTTTATAAGGAAGCTGTTGTTTATTCCCTTAGGAGTCTTATTCAGAAGCAGCCACAGGCATTTAGTTCAAACTCAGTGGATAACTTATCTTTACAATATAAAATTTTTGATAAGAAGAAAGGTTTTTAATGGGAGACAAAGTTAGGGTAGGAGGAAAAGTCATTGGTATCCTATAAATCCTTGGTGAATAAAATAGGAAGAGATTAAAATCAATTTAGTTACAGAAGTGGTTAGGAATGTAAGATTTGCCAGGACTGCCAAACTGTGACGCCATCTCTAAATATAATCCCAGAACTCCCCAAATGGTCTCAGATAAAAGAAAATGCCTCCATGGCATTTTTGCTAAATCTTGTCAGTAAACCTTCCAAGTACACTGTAAGCTGAAAAAGTTCCCACCAGGTCACCCCTTGTGGCCCTTGACTGGCAGCCCCATCTCATGGCATGATCTCTGTTCTGGAGTAGGAGAAGCTCATAGCCATAGCCGCCAGAGGCTTACCTTTTCAGGAAAGGGCACTTGTTCTGCATGAGGTTAAGTGGAGTAGGGAAAGATAGACCGAGATCTCCAAGGGCACCTGTGATAGACATACCTCAGTGTGAAACCCTCTGGATCATGCTCTCCATTATTAAGGTGGTTCTGAAGCCCAGCCAGAGGTCAGTAGTACCCAGTCCTTTTCATATTTCAGAGGACCTCATTCTCTCATTAATAGACACAAAGAAGAAAAATTGCTTAAGAGTTCTGTAGATGACAATTTTAGATATATAATGCTGCTTTTGAGAGTTTCTGATGCCTAAATACTGGGCTTCTAAAATAGGGCTTCAGACTAGTTTGAACCAATTTGGTCATGGTCAACAAAGCAAAACTGGGATGGACCAGAATTGGAAAAACACGGGTGCCTGGAATGATAACTGGAATGTGGAAAATTACAGGTTGAAGCCCTAGAATGGAAGACTCAAAAGAAGTGTAGTGAGCTCTGTTGGGAATCTGTTTCAGGAGATTGGATAACCACCAGGGCCGTGGAGAGCAACACATATTCAAAATAACATGGTCGGTTGCCATCTTTGAGTAGGGCACCAGTGTTTCTGACTCCGCCAAGAACAGTACTTAATTGCAATGCAGTGTGCACAGTGCCCTTATTTTATAAGAGGGAGATTAATTTCTGTCAAGGTGTTGGCCTGTTACTTTCCCTATTCCTATTTTCACTCCTGGTGTGTCGCAGTAGGATAAACACTGGACTGCTAACCACACAAGGTCAGTGTTCCTCCGAAACCTTGTACAGGTCTCTATGACTCAGAACCGACTCACTGGTACTTAACAACACCAATTATCACTTCAGAAACCCACATTTTGCAAATGCCCTTCCTTCCTGCTTTCAGTTTGTTGACTGAACCAGGAAGATTCTGTTTGAAACTATTCTAAAATTCTCCCAAAGCTAGGAAGACAATCTTATACAAATTGAAATCGCTAACCTGAGACATAAATGAAGAATTCTATTAGGTGTTTTGAAATTGTGGTTGTGAGCTACTCATTTTATTTAAATTTTATATGGAGAATTTAAATGAGATATAAAAAAATATAGCACACAGTAGGCAATTTGTAAAGTTTAGTTAAATATGGTTTGTATCTAGAATATGAATTTTTTTTAGGACTATACATAAGTTTCTTTAGCATAACTCTGCAGGTCAATAATTTCTAATTTATATAATTGTTTTAGTATTTTAAACTGATTATCTTGGATCATCCAATGAAAAACTTATTTTTTCAGTCCAATAAAATGGCTGTTCAAAACAGAGCAAGCATTTTTATACTACCAAAAGTGTACAAGTGGCTAAGATACAAATCACTTTTATTATTTCTGTGATATATGTATATGTATATATATAGAGAGAGACAGAGACAGAGGAGAGAGGTCTGGTAGCGTGGCTGCTCATCTCATGGTCAGCAGTTAGAAACTACCATCTGTTCCACGGAAGAAAGATGAGGCTTTCTGCTCCTGTAAAGATTTGCAGCCTTGGAAACCCTGTACAGGGTCGCTATGAGTCGGAACCGACTCCATGGCATATAACAACAATGTATGTATGTACATACGTGTGTGTGTGTGTATATATATATATATATACACTTACGTAGACGTACACACACACATACATATATGTATATATATATCTCATCATTCTATATGATATATAGTAGTGTGTTCCCTTGAGTTTAAAAAAATTAAATCTTTATTTTGATGATATTTAGCATTTATTTACAGTTAAAGAAATAATACAGAGAGATCAGGTACTAATTACCCTGTTTCCCTCCAGTGTAATATCTTGCAAAATTCTAGTACAATGTCACAACCAGGATATTGCCACTGTTACAGTCTTGATACAGAATAGTTTCTTTACAGCAAGGGCTCCTGTTTGTTGCCCTTTTAGCCACATCTGCTACTTCCCCATTTCCTGCCCCAAAGCCCTGACAGTCACTAATCTCTTCTCCGTGTCTATAATTTTGTCATTTGAACCTTTGTTATATAAATGGAATCACATTGATTATAATCTTTTGGGATTGACTATTTTTTTCTTTTTCACTCAGCAGAATTTCCTTGAGATCCATCCAAATTGTTGAGTATATCAATAGTTTGTCCCTCTATTGACTTTTAAAGACACATATGCAATGTAATCAATCAGTAACTGTCTAATGCATCATTTGTCTGTAGCTTCATTTTCATGATTTTAATTTAGAATACTAATGAAGGAATATGTTCATTGTCCCAGGTGCAGGCTTAGTTTTCTATAGTTTTCCTTCATTGAGTGTAATGTTCTTGGTTACATTGCAGTCCTAAGCAACATGGACCTGGTGTAGAATACATATACTCGTAGTTATGTTAGGGACAAAGAAGAATTAGAGCTCCACAACATACACTTCTATCTTATAAAAAGATCTTTACTATAGGAGTTATCTGTTGTTGCATGCAGACACAAGGGTAGTGATTATATATCAGGTTATACAGAGGATTTCAGATCCAGAGTGGATATATTTGAAGCAATTATAAGGTATTTCAATCATCTTTAAACTTTGTGGCAAAATGGGTGAGTTTACAGGATGTATTTTATATCCTGATCTGTAATTAAGGGAAGATAAAATTAAAAAGTACAAAAGTAAAAATAAAACCCAATGGTATTACAAAACAAAACCACAAAAACCAATGGTATAATATGTGGAAGAGGAGCAAATGACATGTACTAGTATTTGCTGGAGTTCCGAGTTTGAAATTGACCTGTTCCTAAGACATCTTTTTTATTCATTGGTGGTGTTTATATAAAGCATGTTGTGAAAGTGATTATTTACCCAGTTACGTGTGTGATTTATGGCATAGCTCTGCATGCAGATACCAATAGCCAGAAATATTTAACCTAGCAGGGAATGAAGTAACTGTCAACAGATAGCCAAGTACTGCTTGTGTTTTGTTCTCCTCGTGTTTTATTTGATTGGCATGTTAGCACTAGCTGTAAGTGTTACTGTAAATGCCCTCCGTTGGTAGCATTTACATGCAGACTGAAGACACATATATAGTATGAGTATAAATTTTAAAAAGTATGTTAGATGTTGATTTTGCAATATGGATAAGTAAGGAGTAGGACTTACCCAGGGAGATCTAGTGGCATAGTTGTTAAGCACTTGGTTACAAACTGAAAGGTCAGTGTTTCGAACCTAACTTTGATTTCACAAGACAAAAGACCTGGCGATCTTCTCACATAGGATTATATTCAGGAAAACCCTGTGGGATAGTTATAGTCTGCCCTGTAAGGTCTCTATGAATCAGAATCAACTCAACACACAACAGCAGAACCAGGGTTTACCTTATAAACTGCTTCTGGGATGACAATTGTTGTTGTTAAGTGCCATCAAGTCGGTTCCAACCCATAGCGACTCTGAACAGGGTTTCCGAGGCTGTTAATCTTTACGGGAGCAGAAAGCCTCATCTTTCTCCCGTGGAACAGCTGGTAGTTTCGAACTGCTGACCTTGCGGTTCACAGCCCGATTCGTAACCACTATGCTACCAGAGCTCCTTTGGGATGACAATAATGGAACTTAATTGTAGCTTTCATCAGGCTGTGATATAAATAGGGTATGCAAGAACTTGGGAACAACAGCAACAAAAAAGTGGATTCAGTTTCTTGACATTGCCACTTACGACTTTGAGTGAGAAATAGAACCTCTGAGCCCCAGTTTTCTGTTCTGTAAAATGAGGATAAAACAGGTACATTTCAAGGTATGTACTGGAGAAATTACGTTATATACTAACATATAAAGGAGGAATTGCATATATTTAATATTATTTAGAGTATATATTTTGAATGAATTTATATAAAACCAGTACCTCCCATATAATTTGGTTGATTGGTTATGTTCTGTGGAGTTGATTCCAACTCATAGTGAGCCTATATAGGGTTTCTGTGCCTGTAAGTCTTTATGGGAGCAGAAACCCTCAACTTTCTCCTTCAGAACAGCTAGTAGTTTCGAATTGCTGACCTTGAGGTTAGCAGCCCAATTCATAACCTATACACTACACAAGTGATAGCAGCCATTATTATTCATTTATTCCCAATATGGTTACATAATAGGATTATAATGATTTTTTAAAATTACCTAACTGTCCACCTGCCAGTAACTAAGCAGTTGATGAATTTCTGACCCCAGTAAACTGACAGGAAAGTTACCTGTTGTACTTCAACTACTTGGGTTCGTGAGAATGCTTGCAGAAAAAATTCAATGTATGTGGAGAAGAGCTTTCAGAATAGCTTAGCTGTAAGGTTCCCTCATAGACTGCTTAAATGGGTGTTCCTTTATTACAGTTTTTGTAGATTTGATTTGTCACTGCTGACCAGAGTGTGTTCCCAAGAGCTTCTGTACTATCCTCAGCTCTAACAGGCATGAGATTCAGAAAATAGCAGTTACAAATGAGAACACCACATTACTCTTTAAAGGAAACTGAGGCACAGTTTAGACTCAAAAGCCTTATTCCAAAGCCTTTATGTTGCTACCCTCCATGTTGTTGTTGGGATGTGCTGTTGAGTTGGTTCCAACTTACAGCGAAGCGACCCTGTATAGGGTTTCCAAGGAGCAGCTGGTGAATGTGAACCACCAACCTTGCAGTTCAAACTGAGTGCTCAGTCTGCAGTACCCCTTCAGGGCTACCCTCCATCAGTGGACTGGATCTATTTTGTCAGTGTTTTGGTTTTGTTTTTCACATTTTTAAGGTATATCAGAAAACAAATGTCTTTAATGAAATTAACAGGAACAAATATTTGAGAATCCCTTAGTAGATTAGTTACCTTGAATTAAGTGGTAATTGAGGCATGTTTTGCCACAATACTTAGAGAACAATTAATACACCTTATATTTAATTAAAATATGTATATATTTATTTTTCTTCAAAAACCACATTTTGTTGAGTCACATGTATTTCTGAATAACTATTTTAGTTAAACATGAAATATATTTTTCTGTTCATGACTTGAAAATACACTGCAGGCAGTAAGGAAAACAATATTAAAGCTGTTTTCGTTTTCCTGTGGTTTCCCCTCTCCCCTTTTCTCTCCTTACACTAGAAAAGAAAGATTTTTTTTCTCAAGCATGTTTTATTGAATTTCTGCATGAGAACCAATTTCTATTAAATATATCTACTGGTGATATATATTCATATAACTTTGTCTTTCTGTCAACATCTTAATTGCTGTTTCTAAGCATCTGACTGCTTCTTTGCTTTTTATGCCATTATATTTGTTTATTTGAATTAGGTACAACTCTGCTACCTTTCACTTGCTCTTTTTCTGTGCCATTCTTTCCATTGCCATCCTGCCTAAAACCAGGCCCTAGAGAAACAGAAAGAATACATTACCTGCCTTAGGAATGAGCGAGATACGCTCAGAGAGGAGTTGGCTGACCTGAAGGAGACAGTGGAGACAGAAGAGGTATGTCAGCCTCAGACATATGAAACATCAGGTCCCTACTTGATTCTCTCTTCCTTCCTTTCATCTTCACTCTTTCATAGCCTGAGTAGGAACAGCAGTATTTATTACCGAGTTCAGATTTAGTAGGTTTTAGTAATTTCTTCTACAGGTTCCATGTCCTGGTGTGGCACTGTAGGATAAGCACTGGACTGCTAACCATAAGGTCAGTGGTTCAAACCCACCAGCTGTTTGGAAATCTTATTCAGGGTTGCTGTGAGTCGGAAGTGACTCAACAGCACTTAACAACAACAATGTCACCCAGGTTTTACCTAAGACAAACATATATTGTTGTACAGTCACCTGACTGAACATTCTGTTTCCATGTAGGCCATTTGGTGATGTCTTTTTCTTCCCCACAGAAACATGGCTTAGTTATAATCCCCAATGGCACTCCCAATGGTGATGTCAACCATGAACCAGTAGTTGGAGCCATAACTGTTGTGTCTCAGGAAGCTGCTCAGGTCTTGGAGTCAGCTGGAGAAGGGCCGCTCGGTAAGACACTGACTATGTTGACCTGGATTAATGTCACCCTATTGGGCTGCCAGTTTATTCATTTCCCAGCTTGGAAACCAAAATCTACATGCGGAATCTCTGAACAGGAAGAAATCGGGCCCATTTTCATTAGATACTTTTAACCTTGGTAATCCAGCATCTGGATCATTGTTAGGCAGTACATAATATAACTACAAAGTCCCTGGTTAGAAACAGTAAGGCTGCATACACATGGCTTTTTCACTTAAATGTAAGAGTCTGTTAAGAGAGAACCAATTGGAAAGCAGTGGGCTGGCAGGAGCCTTCCTGAATAGTTTTTATGTTTCTATTTTAGGGAGCATCTGGTTTTATGTTTTGTTACTTATCTGAGGGTTCTGTAGCTTTTTGTCACCACATTTCTTACAGCAAGAAACAGATGACCAAGAATAGAGTTAAAAGAGGAATGCAATTTCCAGATTAAGGCTCTTGAGCCTCTTCAGTTTTATGTTTTCAGAATCTCAGGAAACCACACAGATGTCCATCAGTTGCCTCCACTAAGAATACTTCTATAAAGGAAGGAAAATGGCAGTTGTGTCACCAGCCTACTTTTATTTATTAAAAAAATGACTTTTTTTTATTTCCATATATGTGTAGGATTCTTAGAAAAGTAGGATATAATGTTAGAGTAGGGCAAACTGAAAAACTTATTAAAAGTCAGTTGTTAATAGCTCACTTCGGCAGCACATAGACTAGTATTGAAACAATACAGAGAAGATTAGCATGGCCCCTGTGTAAGGGATGATGTGCAGATTAGTGAAACGTACTGCAACCATATTTTTTTTGCTTGAAATTATAATGCAATAAAAGTATTTTGTTTTCTAAAGTTATTAACCTAACATTCATGTATGTATACAAATCCAGAAATGCATTTGAAGAGAACTTTGATAAAACAGAAGATGCTAGGCGCATGAGAGAGACGATCTAGCAGATGGCAGGGACTATTGGCAGCTCAAAGTGTTTCCTCTATCTGTTTGAAAGATAACAAGAGGGCTTCAAAAAGTTTATGGAAAATGGAATTAAAAGATAATGGTTTGCTTCCATGAACATTTTAAAGCTCCCTTCTATTTGAGCCTGACCTTGGGTAGTTGTAAGGGATATCCGGACAGATGTGAGGTGTTTTCTTTCAGTAATCTATGGGTACCTTCTCAGCTCAGAGTGTCAGTTTAAGGCAGGCGTGGAAGAGCAGCCCTCTCCACAGGCCAAGAGTGAACCCTGTTGATCCTGGTATCAAGCGTCAGATCAGCCCTTGGTTTCCACAGCTTCAAGCTGAGCCCTTTCTTCCCCTGCTAGTTTTTGTGGGACTCTGCATCTTCCAGCATTGTGTTCCTCTAGGTTCTTTGTTCCGTTGTTCCTAGCTAGTCTCTTGTACACTTTTACTCTCATTGCCGTTCTCGTAATTTGTTCTCTACTGCCAAGGCCTTAAGCCTGTGGGAGCACCCTTGGAATTTCAGTTGTCTGTCAATTTACTGGTGAAACCTTGAAAATTTTAAATCACGAAAATGATCCTCTTTGTACTTCACTTTATCTTTTAAGTGGAAAATTCACTGCTTTTGGGGAGCAAGTGCTCTATTTCATGTCCTGGTAAGTATCAGTTGTATGGAATTACATTTTGAATAATTATTTTTTTCATAACACTTTAAAAGTCGTTATTTTTTTTGACATTGAGCTATAATTTAATTTACTAGTCTTTACTAATAGTTGTAAGTTGGAAGATTTATTTGTAATTTGTGTATAGTACTACACATTTAGTTTACAGTCTTTTAATTCATTTTAGATGTAAGGCTACGAAAACTTGCTGGAGAAAAGGAAGAACTACTATCACAGGTAAGAGCATTCTTTTCATTTTAAGTTAATTTTGTAACTGGTGAAATTACATAGTAAAATTTTAGCAAATTAAAGTATCTACTAGAAGGGAGCTCTGGTAGCATAGTGGTTATGAATTGGACTGCTAATCTTAAGGTCAGCAGTTCGAAACTACCAGCGGTTCCATGGGAGAAAGATGAGGCTTTCTGCTCCCGTAAAGAGTTACAGCCTTGGACACCCTATGCAGGGTCACTATGAGTCAGAACCAACTCCACAGCACACAACCACCACCACCCCTAAAAAGGAATGTGCTTATTTTAAATATCCGTACTTAATGAGGTTAAAAGTGGTGGTGGTGGTGTGCTGGGGAGTCAGTTCCAGCTCATAGTGACCCTGTACAGGGTTTCTGAGGTTGTAAATCTTTACAGGAGCAGAAAGCCTCCTCTTTTCCTGCGGAACCACTGGTAGTTGCGAACTGCTGACCTTGAGATTAGCAGCCCAATTTGTAACCACTACAAGGTTAAATTTAAGATTAGCTTTACCTAATTCAGTAGAAGGATGAAGAATTTGTCTCTTTGCTGTTTCCTTTTCTTTTAAACCATTTTATAGGACTCATAGTTTAAGGGGTCAAATCGTTTCCACCCAACTTGTTGTGAGGACAGCAGTCTGCTCTCCTGCCTCCTTCATCCTCATTCCTGTCCATTCTGTTCAGTGCTTTCAGCTGATTCTTACAACTTCTACTATCCTTATCCAAGGGGCTTCAAAAAATTCGTGGAAAAATGGAATGAATGATAATGGAACTTTTCCATGAACGTTTTGAAGTCCCCTTGTATATCTCCATATATAACATGTTTATGTTGCTCCTTCTTGATTTTGCTGCTTTAGATAGTCTTTATTGGCATCTCTCTGTGGAAGCTGAGGATTTAACTATGTTTCATCCTCTGCATCTGCCACACATGTATCCAGTTTGTAGCCTCACACCTTCCTAATAATGCCCACCTGTTTGTTATTTTTGTTACGTGACATTGAAATGGTTTCGATTCATAGTGACGCTATAGGGTTTCCAAGGCTATAAATCTTTGCAGGAGCAGAAAGCCTCATCTTTCTCCTGAAGAGCATCCGGTTGGCTCAAAGTGCCAACCTTGTGGTTGCAGTCCAGTGCCTATCCTACAGAGCGACTGTGCTCCCTGTTAGCATTGTTGTTGTTCAGTGTTGTCAAGTCAGTTCCACTCATATGAT